TTTTTATTTTGTTCATTTTATTTATTTATTGTGGCACTGGGGGTCAAACCCAGGGTCTCATGAATGCTAGGCAAGCACTCTACTACTGAACTGTGTCTCCACCCTATTTTATTCACAACTTATTTGGAGGGAGATAATAGGGATTGAACCTAAGGGGGCTTTAATAGTTGAACTATAACCCCACCACTTTTTATTTTTTATTTTGAGACATGGTCTTGTCAAGATGCTTAGGGCCTCACTAACTTGCTGAGGCTGACCTGGAACTTGTGATCCTCCTGCGGCAGCCTCCCTATCTGCTAGGATTACAGGAATGCACTACTATGCTGGATGTGTTGTAGAAAAACCTTTTATAAATACTAAGTAACACTGATCTGAATAGGGAATTATTTCCTTTATTATCTTGGGTGCTTTTCATTCTATAGAATTCACTGCATAAATATTTTTCATAAAGAGTAATGCAATATCTCTATGCAAATGTGTAATGATGATAAAAATCCTATAGGTTTACCTCAAAGTCAGCCTCCCCCCTCCCCCAGAGAGCACCAATGGCAAGTATCTTGCGATTTAAAAATGTTGAGGAAAGGATATGGCTAACATAACAAAGTCACTAGCAGGTCTCATGCTAAAAGAAAATTCTTCAAATTCTCAACTTAAGATCTGAGTTTTAAAAACCTTTGGAAATTAAAAGAAGTTTTAAACTACTCCACTTAACTTGGACATATTATGAGAGACCAACTACTTACAGTGTCTTATTAAAAAGATTAACTTGCATACAGACAGTTAATAGTCTCAGCCATTAACATAAATCATAGTTACCTGGGCTTTATCTATTATAAATGCAAACTCTAGGGCTCTATGTGCTCTGAGGGTCTGATCCATTAAGTCTGGGGTAGCTGCTACACCTCTTACACCCCAACCTACATTTTAAATAATCAACCCGGTGGCTTCTGACCCCAACCACCAGGAAAAAACAGCCTAGAAGGTTCATCCACTTCACCTTCAATAAGTACTAAGTTGGAGATAATACAGTACTATTGAAAAAATATCTTAGATTTCCATGTGGAAAACTCAGGGAAAAAGGGCATCTTTACTAAGTGTGTCACTCTGATACTAGACAATTGGAAATTTGTTATGGTTTTTGTTCTTTCTACAAGAACCACACAGTAGACAGCAAGTATAATGTTAAAGCTCCAATAAAAAACTCAGAACTAAACCATGAGCAGTGGCATACACCTGTAATTCCAGCAGCTCAGGAGACTAAGGAAGGAGGATCTCAAGTTCAAAGACAGCCTCAGCAAAAGCAAGGTGCTAAGCAACTCAGTGAGACTCTGTCTCTAAATAAAATACAAAATCGAGCTGGAGATGTGGCTCAGTGGTTGAGTGCCCCTGAGTTCAACCCTTGGTACCAAAAAAAAAAAAAAAAAAAAGACTTAAAACTAGAAGGAGCAGCCCAAGACATTTTGGTAAAGAAAGGCCCAGAATGTACTGATTGTGTTCTGGCTCAGTAGTAGAGCATTTGCCTAGCATGTGCAAGGAGGCACTGGGTTCGATTCTCAGCACCACGTTCTCTATAATCCTAGAGACTGAGGAGCCTGAAGCAGGTGAATTACACATTTGAGGCCAGCCTCATCAACTTAGTAAGGTCCTCAACAATTTAGCAGACCATATCTCAAAATAAAAAATAAAACAGGCAATGGGCACAGTGGCACATACCTGTGATCCCTGTGTTCTATAAACAAATAAATAAATAAAGATCCATCAATAACTAATAAAAATATTTTTTTAAAAAAAGAACCTAAAATCAGGCTGTTAACTTCTATGAAGGCCTCTAGGGAAAACATCCAGAAGACTGAGAATTTTGATTCCTCTGAGAACCTGGCACAATGTGGAACAGACAAAAGACCCTGGTACCCATGTTAGGATGTAGAAGAGATTTTTGATCTAGTTCTCATCTCATAATAGAAATGCCAATAAGAAGTTAGAGTGGGGCTGGGGTTGTGGCTCAGCGGTAGAGCGCTCATCTAGTATATGTGAGAGGTTTGATCCTCAGCACCACACAAAAATAAATAAATAAAATAAATGTATTGTGTCCAACTATAACTAAAAAATAAATATTAAAAAAAAGAAGTTAAAAGGGCCAGGCACAGTGGTGCACACCTATAATCCTAGTGGCTCAGGAGGCTGAGACAGGAGGTTAAGCCTGTTCAAGGTTAGCCTCAGAAATTTAGTGAAGCCCTAAGCAACTCAGTGAGATCACCCTGTCTGTAAATAAAATATAAAAAAAAAGACTAGGAATGTGGCTCAGTGGTTAGGTGCTCCTGATTTCAATCCTCAGTACCAAAAAAAAAAAAAGTTGTGTTTACAGGTAAGTTGGGGGGGCAGGGGTTGTGGCTTAGCAGTAGAGTGCTTGCCTTACATGATCCAGACTCTGGGTTCAATCCTCAGCACCACATAAAAAAATAAACAAGTGAAATAAAGGTGTTGTGTCCAACTACAACTAAAAAATAAATAAAAGGTAAGTTGGAATTGCTGTTAAAATGTATTAAGCATTACTTACAAATTTCACATTAATTTCTTTTTATAAATAGATATTTAGAATTAGATTTCAAGCTGCAATCCCCTCCAGTTCCTACTGCAGAAAGCTCTCTGTGAATCGGGTAAAATATCTCAACCACCAATGGAAGCAATCTACTCACCTCATCAGAATTCTGTGGAAAACCACTAAGAACAGAATAATTTGCAACTTAGTTCATTCATCTTCAGAACAGATATTTTAAAAGTACTTTACTAAGTCCCCTAAATAATCTTTCAAGGATGAGGTTGTGGCTCAGTGGTAGAGTGCTTGCCTGGCATGTGTGAGGCCCTAAGTTCGATCCTTAGCACCACATATAAATAAAGAAATAAAGTAAAAAAATCCATTGGCAACTAAAAGATATTTAAAAAATAATAATAATATTTCAAACTGATGTGCCAATTTCCTCTAGTCAGTGTACTTTACAACATGAATTCTAGCAACATGGAAAATGGCCATGAAACATTATTCTCATTTTGTAATATGGAAAAATTAAAAGACTAACAGATTAAGTTGGTCTAATAGAATGAGTAAAGGCCTTATACTTGTACAGACTTACATTAAAATCCAATTCTATCACTAATTTTGAGAATTATTTAACTTCATTAAGCTCAGTTTTCCTCGTGTGTAAAGTGGAGAAAATGATTCCAACTTCACCATGACTTGAAAACTTGAGAATGTAAAGCTGGGTGTGGTTGTGCACATCTGTAATCACAGCCACTTGGGAGGCTAAAGCAAGGGATTTGCAAGTTCAAGGCCAGCCTCAGGAATTTAGGGAGAGTCTATCTCAAAATAAAATTTAAAAGGTCTGGGGATGCAGCTTTGTGGTACAGCATGCCTGGGTTCAATCCTAGTACAGCAAAAAATAAATAAATAAATAAAATGAAGGAAAAAAAAAACTTGATAATGTAACTAAAGCACTTAATTAAGCTGTCTGTTCACCTTAAGGTAGCTGATGTTATTACCAGAAACACACTTGCAGATCAGAAAATAGTGAAAAATACATTCTAATCCTCCTAATTGCCTGCCTAAAATTATCTTACCAACCAAACTTTTATAACCTAGAGTATGTTTTTTTAGATTTCAGGAGCCTTTCAATGAGAACAATTTCAACTTATTCTCTATATTCCTAGCCCAATACAAGGTTTCTATGCCTTAATAGTCCCCACTTCCCCACCTCCATTTAACAAACGTTCCTCTTTAACACCTTTCAGTCCTTCCTTCTTAACAAGTCCCCCATTTTTATGCCCAAATACTTTAGTACTGGATCTCTGGCCTAGTACAAAGGACTCCCAAGAAACCATTTATTAAAAAACTTATAAGCTGACAATACTTGCATCATTATTCTTACAAACATTTGATCTTACAATCAGACAAGACTGATGTAACACCACGATTTTACAGTTAAAATCATAGCTAGAAAGCAGCATAAGTCCAATTTAGAATTCAAAATTTCAGATCCAAAGTTCAATATTCTCTCAAAGTATACAGTTATTATCTCTTGCATATTCTTTCTTTATATCATTTGCTCATTAAAAGATGGAGGAAACCATCTTTGTACCTCTTGCTATCATTAGAGCACTGTTACAAGGGTCCGCTTACTCCCTACAGTATTTTCTAGAGTATATAAACAGTTCAAGCTACCCCAAGACACTAAGGCCAAAAGTTACTTTCAATGCTTCCTGCACAATCTTCAAGTAAGAAAGAATTCTGGGATGCTTTACAAAAGATCTAAGATGCCTGGGCCACAATCCCTCCATGCTGCCCCACCGTTTCCTCTCCCTAGAGTGTTTTCTTCGGTCTGACATTCCAACGGGAACCCATCTCAACCACAAACGACCCTAGTCGCCAAACAGACTCGTGCCCACAGCTAAGACTTCCTCGCCAAGCAAGCAGAACTCCTCGGAACATTTACCAATGTTCTTCCTCTCTGTCCACAACCCCTTTCCTAAAAAACTTCATCTTCCTGAGTCCGCACCTTCTCAGCTCTCTCCCCCTCCCATCGCCCCACGCTTACCCTTGCACCTCCTCCAAAACCTCCCAGCTTCCAGGGTTGGCGGGCGATACTTCCTATCTCTCCAGGCCCGGATCGCTTGGCTTGCAGCCCGCCGCCCCGATCCGGCCCCAGTAGATCTGATCGTGGCCCCCTTCGGTACCCCAGAGCCCGAGGCCCATCTGCCCGGTCCCTGCCCCGCCTCCCCGCCCAAGGCGCCAAGTCCTCGGTGTTCGGTCTCCAGGCCTGGGCTAGACTCGGAGGGCCTTGGATGCTGCGAGTAGGACAAGAAGCGGGTTGCAGCAGCAGTCAGGACACCGGGCGGGTCAGGCGCTCAAGCCAGGAGACTCCCCGGGCCCGGCCGGCTCCGGGCTCCAGTAGCTGGGACTCAGCCCTCCTGCTTTGCCGGCCCGCGCCTCCGCGGCCTGCCCTCACCTGATCCAGGTTCTCGTCGCTGCCGCTGTCCTCCGTGTCTGAGTCGATCACGACACGGCCTTTCCGCTTCTTTACCATGTTGGTCCCCCGGCTCCCACGCCGGACGCCGCCCGGACTCCCCTCTTGCCCGCCTGCCAGTGGGACCGCCACTGCCGCCGAAGCCGCCGCTGCTCGACCCACACAAAGGCGACCGCGCATGCGCGCTCCGCTCCGCCCCTGACCCCGCCCCCCGCCAGGCGCACGCCGTTCGCTGGCGCCCGGCGCCCCGCCCTGCCCCACCCCCGACGCACCGTGGGAGGCGGGGCCGTATGCTCAAGGTTTCCCGGCAGAGCGCTGCTGTTGTCTTGACGGGGACTGGCCCCGGAAACCTTGGCTGTTTCTCGGCTGCCAGGCCCGCGCTCGGTCGGCTACCTACCTATTAGGGGCTGGAGCCCGAAGGACCTAGGTCCGTTCTGAAAGCACACGCATCTCCATCCTTTCAGTTCTCCGAAACTGATGGAGTGTGGAAGACCACTTCGAGGGTTACCCCAGTGGACAGCACAGTCGTCCGGGACTTGCCGAGCACACCGGTTGAGGGACCGAGCCTACCTACGTGAACTATCCAAGTCACAGCTGAATTGGGACCCGAAGAATGCATCTGAGTTACCCAAAAGAAGAATGGACGGAAGAGTGTTCCAAGCAGAGAACTGCGTGGGAAAAGGCCCAGCGATTTGGTTCGATACCCATCCCCGACAAGCAAGCAAACAAACAAAACCGGAGAGAGAGAAAGACAAACCTTTGAGATCCGGGAACTGAAATTCTTTATAGCCGGAGCAGCAGGTGTGGTTAGGGAGATGGGTGGGGGAAGGATGCAGCTCCTGTCGTTTGGAGCCTAATATGCTATACTAAGGATTACTTGGGAGAAGAAAGAAGTCCCAGATAGGGATGATGTTCAGATTCTGGTTTAGGAAGCTGGTGGCAAGTAGGCCCTTTATCAAAATAAGAAAGTTCAAAAACAGAGAAGATGATGTGTGGAAGAAAGAAATTCGGTTTATATCTTTTCAGTTTGAGGTCAACTATGAAAAAAGTAGCTCCAGAATTGATTTTTCTTTCTTTTTTTTTTTTAAACTTAGAATATAAGGTAAGGAGCATAAGTAATAATTTGAAACTGCTCTCAGAACTGTTGGAGCCCATTAATTCATTAATTCTGGTAGTGAACTTAGGAATTAGTTCTTTGGGCAGGCTAATGAATTCTTGCTCCCTTACTCCCCTTTGCCCTTTTCTGTATAAATTTTATTTTTTCCACAAAGTTACACATACAAATGTAAATGCCTTAAAATAATGAAGAACCTATGTCATACACAGAGAGGTCCCTGGAAATAAATACTACTTCAGTGTCCAATTTGTGTTGTTACTTGAAAAGGTGTTCAGGATTAAGGTGAAGGAAATAACCTAAATAAAGCCCCGCTACCTCTTTACTCTGAAGACTTTTCCTAAAATATACCACTAGACATCTGATCCCCCAGCATACCTTTGAATGAGCCCATGGCCAAGATGAAAATGACCAGAGCATCTCTCCCAATTCTAGCCACCTGAAAGCCTAGTGCCCTTCTATGAGGACTCTAAATGTGTTAATACACAGAATTTCTTTTTTTTTTTTTTTAAAGAGAGAGGAGAGAGAGAGAAAATTTTTATTATTTATTTTTTAGTTCTCGGCGGACACAACATCTTTGTTGGTATGTGGTGCTGAGGATCGAACCCAGGCCGCACGCATGCCAGGCGAGCGCGCTACCGCTTGAGCCACATCCCCAGCCCCACAGAATTTCTTTTAAAAAAAAAAAAAAGCTATAGTATAATCAGTAGCCCTTGACTAGAATTTGAAAAGCTATGTTCTTTGAGTGAAATCTGTTGATTTGTTTTCGTTTGGTTTAGCTGTACTTGGGGTTGAACCCATATCCCTTCCCTTTTTTAGACAGAATCTCACTAAGATGCCCAGGCTGACCTTGAAGTTCCATTCTTTTTTCAGCTTCCCATGTTGCTGAGATTATAGGCCAGCACTACTGCACCCAGATGAAATCTTTTGATTTTCATATTTCTATAAGGAGTTCTCATTATTCATGTACTGGAGTTACTCCATATTGAGACTAATCAGTGTCTAAATCATCTAAGTGAAGAGAATAACCATCCTGCACTCAACTCCCTCTTTTTTATTTTTTATTTATTTATTTTATTATTAGTTGTTCAAAACATTACAAAGCTCTTGACATAACATATTTCATACATTTGATTCAAGTGGATTATGAACTCCCATTTTTACCCCGTATACAGATTGCAGAATCATGTCGGTTACACATCCACATTTTTACATACTGCCATACTAGTGTATGCTGTATTCTGCTGCCCTTCCTATCCTCTACTATCCCCCCCTCCCCTTCCTCAACTCCCTCTTGAGTTGGCTTTCCCAAATACTAAACCTGTGAAAGCTTCCAATTAATAAAATGATGATGATAATAATGAACTCATAAGGTTCTTATAAGGTTTATATGATGGGCTGGGGATGTGGCTCAAGCGGTAGCGCGCTCGCCTGGCATGCGTGCGGCCCGGGTTCGATCCTCAGCACCACATACCGACAAAGATGTTGTGTCTGCCGAGAACTAAAAAATAAATATTAAAAAATTCTCTCTCTCTCTTTCTCTCCTCTCTCACTCTCTCTTAAAAAAAAAAATAAGGTTTATATGAGTTAGCACATGTAAAAAGGCGGCGCAGGATGGGAGGGTGCTTCAAATGCTTAGTAGCAAAGAAATAATAAATGTCAGCTATAATTGTTATTATACTTTGAGGAGGGAGACTGTACAGCAGGTGTTGGAGAAAAAGGATTAGAGATGGGATTTTTGTTTTATTCTGTTTATTTTTTGCAGTGCTGGGGATTGAAGCCGGGGCCTGGCATGTGTTTGGCAAGTACTCGACTACTGAACTACATCCCAGTCCCAGATTTACTTTATTATTATTTTTTTTTAATTTTTTTTAGTTGTAGATGTACAGAGTGTATTTATTTATTTTTATGTGTTGCTGAGGATCAAACCCAGGGCCTCACACGAGAGGCAGGGGCACTGAGCTACAGCCCCAGCCCCCCAGATTTACTTTAAAAGAAATTTTTTTGGTTCATAATAGTGACGTATAGCATTAAGATTCATATCCTAGATTTAGTTTTGAAGTCTTGGGAAGAGAACCCAGGGCCTCACCCATGCTGGGCAAGTGTTCTGTCACTGAGCCATGTCCCCAGCCCAATTTTTATTTATTTATTTTATTTATTTATTTTTTAAACATTTCTTTTTTTTTTAAATATCTATGTATTTTTATGTGGTGCTGAGAATCGAACCCAGGGACTCACACATGCTAGGTAGGCACTCTACCACTGAGCTACAGCCCCAGCCCCTATCAATTTTTATTTTTTACTTTATAGTCTTTGGTGCTGTTTGAACTTTTTATACCAAGAATAAATTTTTATTATAATTTTAAAATAGTTTTGGAAACTAGATTTTTTATTTATAAAATGATTTCTCCATATTATAAATCAACTTAGAAGGGTATAAAGGGAAAGAAAACTATATAAAATTCTGTCATTCCAAGAAATCCATGTATTCTTTTCTGAAACAAAATTGTCTTTGTGTGCATATATTTATTTAACATGTATTTATCAAGTACATATTACATATCTGAACAAAACAAGTTCTCTGCTCTCAAGAGCTTACATTCATGACGTACATATTGCAAAAGGCATGTACATTTAAAATGCTGTAAGGACCCCTTTTTATACAGGCCACCCCAGAGGACAAAAGAAATTTTTTACATCTGTTGTTTGAGAAAATGCAAAGTGGCAAAAACTATGGGTTCACTAACAAATGAGTTGGTTTTCTATTCTTCCAATCTATATATCTTTCTCTTTTTGGTACTGGGGATTGAACTCAGGGGCACTCAGCCACATCCCCAGTCCTATTTTGTATTTTTTATTTAGAGAGATGTCCTCACTGAGTTGCTCAGCGCCTCACTGCTGCTGAGGCTGGCTTTGAACCATGATCTACTCTTGCCTCAGCCTCCTGAGCCGCTGGGATTACAGGCATGCACCACTGAGCCCAGCTCACAACCATATTATTATTTTTTTAATTAAAAATAAGCAGCTGGGCATGGTGGCGCAGGCCTACAATCCCAGTGGCTTGAGAGATTGAAGCAAGAGGAGAGAGAGTTCAAAGCCAGTCTCAGCAACTTAGCTAGACCCTAAGCAATTTAGAGAGACCTTGTCTCAAAATAAAAAGGACTATGGATTTAGCTCACTGGTACAACAATCCCTGGGTTAAATCCCCAGTACTAAAAAGAGAAAAAAAAGTTTATGTGTGTGCCAGGTGCAGTGGTGAGGAGGATCACGAATTCAAAGCCAGCCTCAGTAATGGTGAGATGCAAAGCAACTTAATGAGATCCTGTCTTTAAATAAAATCCAAAAAAAAATTAGGGCTGGGGATGTGGCTCAGTGGTCAAGCACCCGAGTTCAATCCCCAATACCCACCCCGCCAAAAAATGTATGTGTGTATATGAACTTTGGCAGAAAGACTAGGGGAATCATTGCTGTGAATATTTGCCATGTGTGGAGAGTGGTGACAGTGGCTGGGAGACCAATGTCTGAGATTGGGGTCCCTGATGACTTCATGGCTGTGGCATACTTGGAGGCTGGGAAAGTCTTATACAAAGGCATAGGACACTGGAACCTGCTAGTTTGGCGGCGCTGGTCGCAGCAGCCATGGTGTTGCAGGGACCTTCCTTTAGGTGTCCTTTTCTCTTTAAGACCTGAGTTCAGAATCTGAAAATTGGCTCAGATATGAAAGTGGGCAAGAAATGCTAACTTTTTACTGGAGGCACCTGCTGTCAATTTTCTGACCTATTTCCTGTCCTTGTTCCACTAACAATCTCCATAATTCCCTGAGGGTCAGGCGTCCTTGACTGTCACTCTAACCTTCCAATTATAATCATTGCATCTACCTAGTTTCTGGCAGTAAGTACTGCCACCTGGCCTCTTATTTGAAGGCCCAATCACCCCATTGCCATTAGTGAGCCTAGCTTTGTAACAACCTCTCCTGTAGTTAGTCATGACCCACATGATAGAAACACTATCAAACTCCTAGTGATACTGGTGCACCTTTTACCAATATGTTTTCTTTATGACCTTG